TATACAGTCAATTCACTTTACAGTGTGTTCTGTGAAGCGCTTTGGGACGTCCTCCCGACGTGAAAAGCGCTATATCAAATGCAAGGATTATTATTATTATTATTATTATGTTAAATATAGCGCCTTTCACGTTGGGAGGATGTCTCAAAGTGCTTCACAGGATACACTGCAAAATTGGAGAGACTGTGCATTTTGTTGGTGATTAGGAAGACTTTGCCTTCCAAGCTTCACAGGATGGACTGCCACTGTACTCAGACTAACAATCTCTCCATTACTCACATCAGACTCCATCAGTAATACTCCATTACTCCAGACACCTTTGTGTGGCATCTTTGAATGAAGGCCAATTTAAGTTGTTTTACCCTTACATGACAATGCCACTGACCACAGCCCTGCCTTTAGTAATAATAATCCTTGCATTTTGATACAACGTCTTCGGCACATCTCAAAGCGTCTACTGCAAAGAATATACTGTAAAGTGAATTGACTATATTATGTGGGTGAAACATGGCAGCCAATTGCGAATAGCTGGTACCCACTGGTACATTAATGTGGCAGTTCTGCAAGATAAAGTGATTGTTGCTGCCTCCTTAGACAGAAAGCCCGGCCTCAAGAGGTGTTTGTTCTCCATGTCTTCACAGACAGAAAGGTATAACATTCTTGCCTATAGAAGTATCAGTCACCATTTTGGTTTGGCACCAGGTGGGCTGAGAGCTCTTGCAGAATTGTTTGACTGTTTCTGCCAATACTGTGTAATCACGCTATTCTGGAAAGGGGAACCATTCCAGGGAAACAAGCAGCCCAGGTAGTATTAATGTTGATTATTTTGGGCTATGGGTTTGCATCTCCAACCAATAGTCAATATCGGTCAATAGTCAACCGGTTGTTCGTCAATTAGCGGATCGCTTTTCCTGGGATAATAATTCTTTCAAAAAAATTGTAATAATAGTCACTCAATCCACGACTGTTTGTGGGACACAGCCTTATTTTGCTCACAAAATATACAGTCAATTCACTTTACAGTGTATCCTGTGAAGCGTTTTGAGACGTCTTCAAGACGTGACAAGGCGCCATATCAAATGCAAGGATTATTATTAATATTATTATTAATATCAACTTTAAAACTAGTTAGAAAGAGAAGAGATTTTCATCCAATCAATTTGAGGTAAGATTGGAACAAAGGACCCCGAGGTGAAAGGGCAGGGTGCTAATGCACGGCATTACCCTGTCTTACAGTGTTAATAAGGGCATTGGAAACATCTGCTCCATTAGTATTGTGTACATGTGAATTTTATATCAAAAGTTAAAACTTTTTTTTTGTGTGTCAACTCGCTTCACAGGATATGCTGTAAAGTGGATTGACTGCGTATATAATAATAAATAATCCTTGCATTTTGATATAGCGCTTTTCACGTCTTCTAGACGTCTCAAAGCGCCTCACAGAATATACTGTAAAGTGAATTGAATGTATATTTGTGGGTGAAACGTGGCAGCCAATTGCGCACAGCAGTGTCCCACAAACCGTCGTTGATTGGAGTGACCAATTTATTATTGTTTTTTTTCTTGAGTGATTATTATTGGGCGTGTGGAGTATACAAACTTGCCCAAGGTTTTGCCCTGCTGGGTATCGAACCCAGGTCTCTCGCTTGCGAGGCGAGTGCTCTAACCACTGAGCTACAGGACTCCTGTGTATTTTGTGGGCGAACACCGTTGGCATTGAAGGCCTGAGGTTTGGCGTTCACTGCAATAATTAATACAACAACAACAAGATTATATTTGTATAGCGGCTTTCACGTTGGGAGGACGT